GGGGAGAGAGAGAGACATACATCAATGTGAGAGAGACACATCAACTGGTTGTCTCCTGAATGGTCCCTGCAACTTAGATATGTGCCCTTAACTGGGAATCAAACCTGCGACCGTTTGGTGGAGCCAACCCTCTCACCACTGAGCCATGGCGGCCAGGGAGGGTCCCTCTTGATTCCAGTGCATCAAAGCTGTTAGATATGTGTGGGAGGACCTGGAGTTTGTACATCAGGATAAGGATAAAGTCAAGAATAAAAAAGCCAACAAGCCATGTGCAGAAACAGAATTTCAGAGGCCGAGGCAGCAGAGACTGAGCCAAAGCTAAAGGCAAGGGCCAAAATTTTCCTCTAAAAGGTTGTAAATCAATTAGTACAAAGTACTAATCAATTAGTACAAAACATTCTTCTAATTTTTAAGATCCATGCCCCATCCTAGAGTTGATTCTCCAGAAATTGAGAAATTGTGCCTTGAAGAAGGTAGGGCTTGCTGCTGACCATCTCATAGAAATATCTCTTATATATGCTAAATAATATTTTACATTCTGTGCCTTAAAATAGTTTTAAATATATTTTTATTGATTTCAGAAAGGAAGGGAGAGGGAGAGAGAGAAACAACAATGATGAGAGAGAATCATTGACCAGCTGCCTCCTGCATGCCCCATATTGGGGATCAAGACCTCAACCCAGGCATGTGCCCTGACTGGGAATTGAACCGTGACTTCCTGGTTCATAGGTCAATGCTCAACTACTGAGCCACGCCAGCTAGGCTGTGCCTTAAAATTTTAAATGTGATTTATAGCTCTATCAATTCTTCAACCAAAAGAGCCAAACTAAATTAATTTCATTTTATTGATTTAATTATTTCAATGATCCTCAATAGAAAAACAACCCATGTATGTGCTTATTAGACTAATTTAAATTACCTAAAAAGATATATTAAAAATACATTTTAGAAGACGAGGTTTACCAAAAACCATTCTGATAAATTAACAGTGAATCGTCCTTTAAAAATGATGACTATATATTGTTACTAGCCATTAACTTTTATAATAATCAATAACATAAATTTACAAATAAAAAATACTCATAAAATTGATTACTTCCCATGGGTTTAAGATATTTCTTGCATAGAACCTAGGATTGGTTATATATGGCATATTTTTCTTTTCTCAGCCTAATTAAAATATTTTATATAGTAAAAACATCATAAATAATGTTTACTACATCTTACCCAATACAGTTCAGTGTATGAAAAATAACATATAGTCAATAATGCAAATATTTTTATAAGCTACAATTTGGTATAGACAGTTACTCAGTTTCTACAGTAATTCATTTAACTGGAACCTTTTAGAAAATGCTGCTGGATTGATCTAAGAATTTATTAGGGGCGAATCTGGTTGATTTCATGATATACAGTCAGAAATTCCTTGGGATATATTAACAACTTTACTTACTCCCCACTTTTACTATTAACTTCAAATAAATTATTAAAAATAAAGTTTATCAAACATGATGATAATCTATTTGTTGTCATGAAAGTGCTTCTCTGGCCTAAGGGTGATTCTGAATTTCACATTATTTGTATCTTTAATCTTGCATATAGCAATAATTTCTAAGTCCAATGTCATTTTCTGGTTATTCTAAACTAAACAGTTTAAGACAACATAATGGTACTCTCACTCATGTATGTTTACGAGCCTTAGAGTTGCAAGATGTATAGTGTGTATAAAGAATCAGACTGTGTGAAAATGAGAAAAATGTTTTGTGGGGCTTTTACTACATTGATACACCCTTGGTGACAGCAATATCAAAATGGAGCAAACACATACAGAAGTTCATACTATTAACCCAGTGGTCTCACTCAAGAAAAAATTGAATCGATGAGGAGTGGGAAGCATGAGGATATTCTCAGTGGTATTCTACAATATGATAAATAATGGAAAACTATCTCAGCGGTTAACAAGAGAGGAAGTAGTGATTAATGTGATAACATCTACATAAAATGTATGACACAACCTTTAAAAATAAGACTAGGCAGCATGGAAAAGCTTATGATATAATGTTAATGGTTTCCACAATGTAATGACAATAACATAAAACATATACTCATGAATACAATGATCAAATAGTCATATACAAAATGAAAATAGTTATTGTTCATCTTTATTATTAATTCTTAATCATACTGAGATGACACCTTTAAAATTAAAATACTAGGCTTACTCATTAATTATATAATTTCTTTTCTAAGTCCTAGTAGACAGTGCTACTCAATCTATGTGGAACACTAAAAAGACTTGTGGGGTTATATTCAAGTTAAGTGTCCTAATGGATCCTTACCACGTTGGTAATTCACAGGTACTTCAAGGTACCTCCCAGTGGGGTCTAAAACAGTAGGAAATGCGCTGTGGATGTAGAAACACCCACGGAGTTGTTGCCTTTTTTTTTTTTTTTTTTTAGATGTACATTTTGACTTTCAGGCTCTTCCAACTCATTGTCACTATCGGTTTCCTCAAACATTCTTAGAAGGTTGAACATGTGCTGTAAATTTCCACACATCTTTTCATCCCAATCAGTAGGCTGCTTCATGAATCAGATAAGGAAAGTATTAGAGATCCAAAGGCTGAGGTTTCCAAAAAGCAATTAAGGTAAAATTGAAGTAAATTAAGTAGGAGTAAATTAATTAAATTAAGAAGTAAATTGAAGAAAGAAAGGGAAAAAAAAGCTGTGGCAAAGGTGGGAAACTCAAAGGCTACAGCAGGAACCAGACGATAACAGAAACAAGTGCAGCAGGCTGGGTATAAGTGATAGGGGGGAAAGGGGTGGTGGCCACTGCAAAGCTGGCCCTGTTTAAAAGCAGCAACCGGTCCACAGTCCTAACAGGTTGCTGACATGCATGAAGCAGACCCAGGGCTGCCAGATATTCAGAATCGTTCAAGGGAGACCAGAAATGTAGATGCCCATGTGAAATCTCTGTGTTTCTGTTGACAACTAACTTAACTAGTTTTAATTTTTCATTCCCTGAATAGCCAAATAATGGATGCCCGTGGGCTTGTTTTGTTCCATGGGCTTCCTTGCATGCCCCCTCTGTTATCTTTATTTGCCAGAAGTCACGTTTTCAATCGAGGCCCTTCACAGGCCAAAGAAAAAGAAAAATGCAAAATGGTGAAGCTGTAGTAACTGGTGAGCATATGGGCACGCAAACTGCAAGAACATCACCGTAAGACTTGAATGTTCCTGAGGAGCAAAACCTCGGAGGATTTTACTTTTATTTGTCTGTAATAATTGAGGAAACATTCTGAGTCACTACAAAAAGGAAATTAGCCCCAGCGGCTTTTTGTTAAGAACGAAACGACAAGTTTTGACCAAGATGGAATTGCTAGGAGCTACCAAATGGCAAATAGGATGCAGGTGTGTGTCCTGCTTGGCACCAGCCTGTGGCAAGCTTCCAGTTACCTATCCTATTCCCTCCAACTCTCATTTTCCATCCTCGGCAGCTAAAAGGAAGTCCCTGGAGACTCCTCAGGACGGGTGGTCTGGCCGAGGAAAGGAGGACCCAGGAGGCTGCGTGTAAAGGTGTCCTCAGTGGAGAGGTAGGAACTTCCCCGTCATCAAAGTGAGGCTCTGTGGATGGGTGGGCAGGAGTGGCTGGAAGGGAGGGGAGAGCTGTCTACTCAACTCATCATTTGCGTCACATGCACTCAAGGAAAAAATGTTTACCTGGTGGAGCCACCGTTAACCTTTTTTCCTTGCTGAGCCGGTGCCCTTGGATGAATTCACTCATGGAAGGGGGGCCCTTCAGAAGAAATGACTCTGTGGAGGTGGGGTCAGGGGGAACTCTTAATAAAGTCTGTAGGTAGGAAGCCCCTGAAGTCCTGGGACGGCTCTGATCACAAAGGGAAGGTGAAAATTGTCTTGCAGGAGATCCAAGAAAATACATATAGGAAACAAAAAAGTTTTACTTTAATTACCTTTCAAAGCCTCACCAGTGACAACATTACTTATATTGGCATTTAATTTTTTTAACATGTAAATCAAGATTTTTTTTTTTTTGCTAATTGCTTCGTTTCCACACCAGGATACAACCCCATTTAGAAACTGTATTGGAAACTGCGAAAGAAATTTATTATAGTTAGTTTGAACCACAAATAAGAAAATATGGATATAATTTGATTTCTTACTGAAAGCTTCTAAAATAAAAATCTTACTATTAACTGAAAATAGAGGGTAAGTAATTCAACATCCAGGACTCTGGGGAAAAGGTCAGAAAAGCCACTGACAACCTTACAGGTGATTTCTTGGAGCAATATCCACATACCAAATGAAAATGCACAAAAACCTGCTTTAAAGAAAAGGACTATACACATTCCATCCCACTTTACCTAAATGTAGACATCTCCTTTAGTCAGCCATCAGTTTTGGTAACACAAACAAAAGTTCCCTCAGAGAACATACCCATATCCTTGCCCCATTAAAGAGAAGCTGCTAAAAGCACCATTACCAGAGGTACAATGATTTTTAAAATGACCATCCATGTAAAATACAGCATCCTTCTTAATATCCATCTTTTATCTATCAATTTTTAGGCTGGAGGTAAGGGAGAGGTATATTTGTGTGTATAAGAAACAGCAAAAATGTTGACAGACACAAAAGTTATTTTATGGTTAATTAAGAGGTGGGTGTGAGGGACAGAAATGAGTAAATAAATATAATTATCAAACGTTTTTGATTTTAAAAAAACCCCCAACATTAGCAAGGCCCATTTATACACCCACTCCCAGTTTTTCTCTTCCTTCCCTTCCTCCATCCTCCACAATAAGAACACATCAATTTTTGCAGTTAACTAACATCTGGCCACTGCACCACACCATGAAGATTGCTGCATGCATACCTTTTCCTCTGAGTGCCACTGCTGCCCCGAATGATGGGTGTCTGTGGGCCCTGCCTATGCAGGAGGTAAGTGTCTATGGTGGGCACGATGCCTGAGGCCTCCCCACTTACTTTAGGGCTGCCGATCTTGCTCTTTCCAAATTTGCCTTTGCTGCGTCTCGACTGCTCATGGTCAAATTCTAAGTCCTCCAGCCGCTGGGTCAGGGCGAGTTTTTGCTGGATAGCCATTCGTAACAAAGTATTTAGAGTCTTCTTCTCGTCCTCTGCGGCTGCTAACTGTCTCTGCATCTCATCCAACTGTGTGACGTACTCATCACATCTGGAACCAAAACAGAAACGTGGTCAGGAGGAAAACCTGGGCGAAACTGAAGTCGGATTTCAATGAAAAAGGAATGGATTTTACTGGAACACGCTGGTCTTCTTAAATTAGAAACAGTAGAGCAGGCTCCATAATTGATGGTTCACCTACACCATGGAGTACATATGGGGACATTCTTTTTTTAAAAAATATATTTTTTTATAGATTTCAGAGAGGAAGGGAGAGAGAGAGAGAGAAACATCAATGATGAGAGAAAATCATTGATCAGTTGCCTCCTGCACTCCCCCTACTGGGGATTGAGCCCATAACCGGGGCATCAAACTGTGAATTCCTGGTTCATAGGTCAACACTCAGCCAAGGAGCCACACTGGCTGGGCTGGGGACATTCTTAATAGGTGACGTCTTAAGTCCCTTATTGTGGGGGCTGCTGCATGGTGGCACAGGATTAAGCCGAAAAGTCTCAGGCAGCGTGCATAGCATCTTAGGTGAGTTACAGGTGGCTTTTTCTACTGTGTGATGTGTTCTTCGGAAGACTGTGACAAGTTTGTTATAGGCTATGCCTGTAGCATGCAAAAGAATAATAATATTTGTAAAGAAAGCATTTCCTTCTTTATCTATATTTATAGGTTCTATTTTAAATCGAGTATAGATTGCAGCTGCCACTGCTTTCAATATGGCAGATTTGTTTGAATTAGAAACCTGAGTCTTTTCAATGATTTCTCAACCAGATGATTGAGCAATAAGTGTCAAAGAAAGCCAAGAGGAGCCTAGGATTTATGCTGCAGCAGGAAGATATGCTCATTGGTCTTTTATCCCCATCAAAGGTAAAACCTGGGCACACATACAGTTGGGAGAAAGAATCCTCCATAATAAAAGCGTAATATGCTAAGTGTTTGACCCATCAGTCGACTGTTCGGTCAACTGCTTACCCAGTCGCTATGATGTGCACTGACCACCAGGGGGCAGAAACTCTGACCAGTAGGTTAGCTTGCTGCTGGGGTCTGGCTGATTGGGACTGGGAAAGAGGGTCGGACATGCCCTGGAGCCCTCCTGCAGCCCCTCCCCACCGGCCGGCCCCCATGGCCCCAATTGGGACTGGACAAGATGGCCCCGATCGCCTGCCAGGCTGAGGGACCCCACCCATGCACGAATTCGTGCACTGGCCCTCTAGTTATTCACATAATTAGAGTTTTTTTTCTGAGTTTATTTACCCACTAAGATAATAATAATAACAAGTACTTTTTATATACCAATAGATAATGACTTTGTGGAGTAGTCCAAAATGTATTGTACACAGTTTGCAATCAGCACAAACCTTATGGCATTTTAAAGAAAAAAACAGACCCTGTAGTGAAAGAACTTGAGATCTGGGTGGGTCCCCATTTTCTTTAACCTTGAATGTCAAGAAACATGTAGCGATATCATAAGAAAATCTAGGGCTTAGTAAAATACAATGTGAATTTCAGGATCCTGGATTTATTTTAATTGGTTAGATAACAATATTTTTAAAAATACTATGGAGTAAATAAGGCAATTACTACCCCCAAAATAAGACAAATTTCTGTGAAAATGCACTATTTGGGGGAAATAATTCTTATATAAACCAGATTCAGACTTTTAATGTCCCTTTAAAAAGGTTTGATTTCTTTTTCAAAGAGGAAATTTGTGTTCTTGATTCTACACATCATCCTGATTGGTTTCTTTCATCAGTGAGGGGTATGTGTACCATCCAAATTCTCTATCCTGCCTCCTCTCACAGTGGCCAGAGGTGCATTTATTCTCCCCAAACTCTTATGCTTCAGTTCCCCACACCCCTGGGGTCCATCGGGCACTCAGCCTCCTCACTGCCATCTCTGAGAGTCAATCACAGAGTACAAGCTTGAGCCTTTCTCTCCTGACACCCCAAGAAAGCTGGACAGATTCCCAGGCTCAACCCAGGATTTTGTTTTATACTTATATCAGCTACATGTAAATTATTTAATGAATCTGCAAATAAAGGCATAGTGATGCTTTGTGAACTTTGCATCAAGTTTGCATCATATAAGATATATAACTGTTTTTATTTTGGCAATAAATCGTGACAGCAAAAAAAGGTCACATATTGAGAAACTCAGGATTTCAAATGCCTTGAATCAACAGATTCTTAATAATCACTTCAAGTTTAAAAACAAAATACAGTGGCACCACATAATGAAGAAAGGTGGGAGGGTAGTAATTAATAAGTATCTAATTACTTGGGCAATGTCAAAATTTGGTGATATAATTACACTTTAAAAGTTATATTTTCATCAGTGTATTTAAGTCTAAGTAATTAGCTGGTATGATGAATATTAATCTTCATTATAATGGTATCTTTCTCATACAATTTATTAATGATAAGCACTTTGGTGATAGTGAATTTCAGTGGTGATATTTAGCTACTTTAGCAAGTAGAACTTTTCCCCTTGTTGGAGATTTCTTTTGTGTGTTCTAATTCTTTTGGGTACATAAATTCTATTGTAAATATAAAAAAAATAGAAAAAATGTCTCTTGTATTAATATTTAAAAATACTTCTGTGTAAAGGAATTGCTTGATCCAGTGTGTCCAGTAGAGGGCTCTGGAAAACAGCACGAGAGCTCGTATCAGGTTTGTCAGAGTGGAATCTCTCCTTTTTTTACAACTTACACACTCAGGATGCAGGAAGATACCCATGTGAATTTCAAAGTCTTCCCCCATGTACCACACCTAATCGTGGAAGAAAAAACGATTACCTTGTTGCAAACATTGCTCTCAGGGATGAGAAAGTTGCTGCATCTTCTTTCAGAGCCTTCAGTTCATTTCTAAGTTTCGTCATCGTTTCAGTCACCATTGCTTTCTCATTTTCATATTTGTTCTTGAGATTAGCTAGTGCCACCTCAGCTGTCTAAAGTGGAAAAATCACAATGCTTACAACTTTCATATCAGGAAAATCTATCACAGAGATTTCTTCATGCTGGGAATATTACTTTCTTTCATAAACGGAGGTGAAATGGACTTGGTTATCCTATCTAATAATAGACAAACATGGTAATTGACTGTACCTTCGCTACGCCTCCCATTGGCTAATCAGGGTGATATGCAAATTAACCCAACCAAGATGGTGGCTGGCAGCCACGCAACTGAAGCCAGCAGGAGGCTTGCTTGCTCCAGTGATGGAGGAAGCCAAGGTTCCCCGCCTATCGCGGCCCAGTTCTGAGCTCCGAAAGCAACAAAGTTTCAATTACAGAAGCTAAACAAACCCCAGATACCTGCTTTCAGCAGGCCGTGGCCACAGAGCTGGAACAAGCAGGAACCGGCTCTTTGCTCTAGTGACGGCAACAAAGTTTCAATTATAGAAGGTAAATAAATCCCAGAATAAAAAAGAAAAAGAAAAAAAGGAGAGGCTGGGAGCTTCAGTTGCCGGCCAGCCTGAAAATGGCCCTCAGCCCCTCACCCAGACTGGCCAGGCACCCCAGTGGGGACCCCCACCCTAAAGGGGGTGTGGCCAGCCTGAAAACAGCCATCAGCCCCTCATCCAGGCTGGCCAGGCACCCCAGTGGGGACCCCCACCTTGAAGGGGGTGTAACTAGCTGCAAACAGCCATCAGCCCCTTACCCAGGCTGGCTAGGCACACCAGCGGGACCCCCACCCTGATCCGGGACACCCTCCAGGGCAAACCAGTCGGCCCCCACCCGTGCACCAGGCCTCTGTCCTATATAGTAAAAGGATAATATGCAAACTGACCCTAACAGCAGAAAGACTGGGAATGACTGGTCACTATGACACACACTGACCACCAGGGGGCAGATGCTCAATGCAGGAGCTGCCCTCTGGTGGTCAGTGTGCTCCCACATGGGGGAGCTCTGCTCAGCCACAAGCCAGGCTGATGGCTGCCAGTACGGCGGTGGTGGTGGGAGCCTCTCCTGCCTCCTCAGTAGCGCTAAGGATGTCTGACTGCAGCTTAGGTCTGCTCCCCGCTGGCAAAGGACATCCCCCGAGGGCTGCCGGGCTGCCAGAGGGATGTCTGATTGCCAGCTTAGGCCCAATCCCCCGGGGAGCAGGCCTAAGCCAGCAGGTGGTCATCCCCCAAGGGGTCCCAGACTGCGAGAGGGCACAGGCCAGGCTGAGGGACCCCCCCCCCCCCCAGTGCACAAATTTTTGTGCACCGGGCCTCTAGTATTTTATATAAACATAGGTATGTATTTTGGACTTAAGGTAGTTTTCCTTTAATGTCAAAACGTGTTGTGAATCCATGTGGTGAAATTGCCCTAGAAGCCAGCCATGAACCTGAGTCAGTACTAAGAGCAAAGGCAATGATAGTTCAGTAAATATTTAATGCAGATTGTTGAGAGTGTAGGGTTTTCAGACATGAAGAAGCCAAAATGAAACTTTACACAAGAAGAATTTTATCAAGGAAAAGTTAGGGGAAAAGTACTGCTTCCAACTGAAATGTAATAGAACTCAAATATTCTTGTGTCACCTGAGTTCTGTGGGCCTGAAACAAACAGAATAAAAGATGTAGGCCAAGCATGTCAAACTTGCTCCCTGCAGGCTGCATGCAGTCTACAACGAATATTTTTGCGGCCCAGCCAATATAACAGAATGTAAGAAACATTTTAATAAAAATTTCGTAACTTAATTTTTACATTATGCTGTTATACATGATTGTTAATAAAGAACTACAAAGTTCGCTGACTGATTACTATAATCGTGTCTCATTCATTTCCCTTACACGCCTTAAGTGTAGGCGCACCATTTCTCTCCACTAATACTAGCAGCGAATATTTTAGCAGCCGATTGCTACGTCATAGTCTTGGACTGACTTGTGCGCAACAGGAAATATTTCACTTTTGGAGAACAAGAAAAGTAGGTTTATTTGCATTATGCTTATTAATTTGTGCAGTTATTCAGTGTCTGGTAAGTTAATGTTCAAAAAATATTAATTTTTATTAAAATGTTGTATTATTTTATGCTAACGATTACTCATTTATTTCAGCCCTTTGTATTCAGCATATCTCTATTGAAACAATCTGATGTTTCTATGAAAATTGAAGCTTTTGATTTTTTTCGGCCCACATAAACTTAAACCTTGTTTATTTGGCCTGTGTTAGCCTTTGAGTTTGCTATGCTTGATGTAGGCCATTGCAATTTATGATAAGTACATAAACTATCAATCCATATTTTATGTTTAAGGAAAAAAATTAACAAAGAACCAATGATTTCTGATGCCTTTGCATACAACTTCTTCAAAACAGTGAACTATAGTCAAAATTAATAATCAAGTTTTAATAATCAGATAACAATAAAAATAATCAAATTTGAATAGTCAAATTTAAGTCTTCACAATCCCCATAAAAGCAAAAATTCCAAAATGGTGAATGGATTGAAATATTTATTTGAATTTGGGCATGTCTGAAGTTCTAAGAATAAGTAGTGTTTCAAATTGAGAACTAGCCTGACACATGGCAGGAAGTAAAACTTAAAAATGTTGAGTGAATCTATTAATGAAATGAATGTATATTTAGGGACTGTCTGTTAGGTGCATAGCACATGATATGCATATAGAAGCCAAACTGGAAACATACCATTTTTACAAACTGCTAACTACAGCTTTCAGGCTGTGTAAAAATATTCAATACTAATGAAAAAGTCCCTTACTAATGAAAAAAAAATCCATTACTAATATGATTTCCCAGGAAGACTACCCTGGTTTTTAACATTTCTTTTTGTGCTTGAAATGGACAACTTCAGTTTTCTTAAGCAAAGCACAACTTCTATGGAGGTAAATGGATTCTTTTTTAAATTAAAACAATGTTGGGATGGGATAGTTTGTTCATGTTTTGATTATAAAGTAGTTCCTTATTAGTTTTTGATTGAATTTAAATTCAAATTGAAATGAGAAATTACTCATAAAATAGTTCAATATGCCCTGTAGTGCTATCCCTTAGTGGAATCTTCAGAAATATTATAAATTCAGAAAATTGTCTGGAATGCAGAAGTTGACCTGGGGAAATGGCCGTTTTAAATTTTTAAAAATAAATTATACACATATTCATTTAGAACAGATAGTTAAGTTTAAGTTGTGCAAATGCAGATGTAACAAATTTGTAAGCATATGGAGCCATGTGGTCAGTTAATTAAGGAGAGTTGAGTGGCAAGGGTGAGTGGGGGGAATGACAGAAAAACAAGATCTGAAATAGAAGTACAAAGTTATTTATTATTTGTGAGAAATGCCCCCAAAGGATTCAGCATTGTTGATTTATTTGTCCACAGACTGTACAACACTTTTTCAGAATTAAGTAATTCTAAGTGTCTATATATAACCCATTAGTACATTTGTTGGCATCAGCAGCATTTGCTATATCCTTCAAACACTCCCAAAGTGTACTTTCTAAATAAAAATCTTGTTTCTAGCCACAGAGACCTTCAAAATATATATCTTTCTATTCTGTGCCTCTACCGCCTACTGTTCTTTCTGTCTGGAATTATTTCCTCCTCTTCTAGAAAACAACTCCTCATCCTTTAAGAACGGACACAAGAATAATTCCTTCTATGAAGTTTTCTCGAACTCTTCTAAAAGACATTAGTTACTTCCTCTGCAATGTTCCCATAACTCAATTACAGCACAGATAACGTCAAACTGTAATTATCTGTTTCTATTCTGACTTCCCCACTGGTCTGTGAGTCCTCCTCTGGGGAGGGGGGGGGGAGGGGCAGGGACCATGGATGAGTCTTTGAATCTTTAGCATCTAGCACAGTTTAGTACACAGATGGTACTTCATAAACATTTGCTTGTTCATCAGAAGACACTGTGCTTACAAAAAAAAAAATCCTAAAGCATATTAAAAGATTCATAGAGAATGCAGAAAACTATTTTAAAATAGAAAATTCCTTTTCCTATATCACAGAATTCTCACCTGAGCCTTAATAATTTACATTCCACATGCAGAAATATAATGAATGTCACCTGTAGACACTTGAAGCTATTTATGGCATATATGCATCACAGCAATAGGCCCAGCATCATTAAAATGTAAACTAAATGCATGGCTAGGAATGTGTTCTCATTTAATTTACTGAATCCATAAAGGCTATGACGGTAACATAATGCAAATGGTACCATAGCCAGAAATGCTTTGTTCTGCTCTGAATTCCTATGGCACTGTTTATACCATTCTTAAGTGCTTGATATGTACTATTTTGTAGACAGTTATAGGCATTATTGAACTCCTTCCTACTAGATTACTAGTCACTTATTTTTTCCTCCTTACTTACTGCCTGCCATGAAATATGTAATCAATGAGTGCTTGCTCACAAATTAGTCTCTCTTGGCTGATCAACCATCCTTATTATCTAACCTCTGTGGCAGTTATGTGTCTTGACTTTCTTATAGATCTAGATCTCTAGGTTATTAATATTCAACCTTCAGGAAGAAATTAGAGAAGTTATCTGAATGGTTTGATCGAGAATACCCAGGATATAATGTCCTGGAAAAAGGCTGTCTTATCTGATATGGTATTGATTATTTATGACCACTCTAAATCACTGGGTCTTTGGATTGTAGCAGAATTTATGGTAACAAATTCCTTAATTCTGACCTCAAATCTTAGATCTCTCACAAATTCTCCATTTACCCGAATCTTTTCTATTTTAGTGAACTGATGACACAAAAGAAGGACCTATTTTGCCCTTAGGTTTATATAAAACGTTTATAGTGTGGACAATATTATTGTTTGTGGTATAGACCTCCAAATTATATGAATGGGTTTATGGGAACTGAAGATAAAAATGCTAGAGAGCTGCACTGTAGATGACAAAATAATAATGTGGTTTCCCCCAGACAAAGGTAAAAGAAAGAACTCTGAATCTGAAATTAACCTCTAACACTAGCCCTGCTTACATTTGTAGATGTCTGATGCTTTGTTGCTTTGCTTCATCAATACCCTTCTAGCACCCTCCTCAAATCTATGTCTCAAGGCTCATTTTCCAGAGAAATTAAAGAAAGGTTAAAAATATTTTCTTGTCTATATTTCATAGCATAGCCACCCAGGTAAAGTTCAAGGCAGGAAAACAGATCCAGTCATCAAGGAGATCTTGGAATTAGTCAGGTAGGGTCTTGTTGTAGCACCCTTACTTATTCCAGAGGACAAGATCTGTGGTTAGGAAAAATTCTCTACTGCTTAAGCTCTGATCCAAGTGAGTTAACATCCCAAATGAACCTAAACTTCAGATACGTGGTCACTAGCAGAGCGAGTGCACATTTTACCTCCATCTCTACCTCTGTTTCTCTACCTCTCTCTCTCTCTAGGTAACTCCCGTTTGCTCCAGCTGCCTGCCAGGTGTCTTTCTTGCTGTGTCTCCCTGGTGTAAGCTGCCATGCCAGCCTATTCTGCCACCCCTCCACCCCCTGTTTTCACATGCAATGACTGCTGGACTCCAGCTAAGTACTGCCTGAACTGCCTTTCTATGTCTGCATGGATCTTCTCCTTTGTTCCTGCTTTAATTTCCTCACCTCTACCTCCACCTAATGGACCATACCGACTCTCCTATTTCATTCATTCACTGAATTAAAAATAATTATTACATTCTGACCTGGTACTGGAACTTAGTTTTTATTTCCTTACTGACCAGGAACCTGAACTCTCATCCTGATGATAGTGGACACTCAAAAACATTAAGGAATAAATGTGATAGGAAGGCGTTGGCTAGCATGCGTGGTCAGTGGGATGAGATCACCTGCTTGTTGGCTTTCAACACGGCCCTCAGTGTGGCAATCTGCTCCCGTTTGGTGCTCAGCAGGGACTTGAGCTTGAGGATCTCCTCCATTAAGGCTTCCTTGTCTTTATCGATCATGGGGGCCAGCTCCCGTGCCGCTGCTCTTTGACGAGACAGTTGCAAGGACCGGTCCACGGCTTTCTGCAGATGCTTGATTTGGTCCCGGATAATGGCATTAAGGTTGTAGATATTCATTGGCTCTTTGCGGATGTCACTTGTATCTAATACTGGAGATGACGGTGGGGCAGTAATTACAGGAGAGATAGTGGGGGTCTTGGTTGGACTTGGTTCTTTGCTGGCCTCAGTGTTTTCTTTTGTAATTGGTTCAGAGGAGGTCCTTGATTCTACTGGGGATGACACCCCCCGCCTGGCTAACCGTGGAGACAAAAGTCCCCTGGGATCATCGGGCCCTTTCAGGCTGCCACTACGAGTAACTCTGCTTTGCCTATAGTAGTCCAGCATGACCCTGTTGGGGGTTTCATTATTACACAGACATACATGGTGGTAAAGCTGAGCTAGCTCCTCACTAAAGGTCACCAACTCATCCTGGGCTGTATTAAGGGTATTGTGATTTTCGTTGGCTATGCTGGTCATCTTTTGCAATTCCTTCTCCATGTGGGCCATCTTCTCTCCACTCTCCTTGGTGGTCTTCTCAAGGCTTGTCACCTGCTCATCGTACATTTGGATCTTACTCTCATACTTGGTCTTTTCTTCAGTATAGTTTTCTACGGATTTGTTGTATTTCTCCTTTAAGGCTTTAATTTCAGCTTTCAAATCGATCACCTCAGTCACTGCCACCCTGTATTTGCACTCAAGGATCTCTAAGCCATTGATGTCCACCTCATAGTCATGTGCCTCTTCCTCTGAGACCCGGCCCTTCTCCCCGTCCAGCTCGGTCTTGAGCTCCTTGCTGTTCTGTAGGCCCCTCATGGCATTAACGTGCTCCGTGAGCCGGTGCACCCGTTCGTGCTGCTCTGTCAGCGCCCCCTTGGTGTGTTCCAGCTGCGTCTGTGACTCCTGGAGATTGGCCAGAAGAATGGCCTTTTCCCGCTCTACCTGCAATAACAAAAGAAAGTCTCTGAATGCCTTCAATGCAATGCCATTGATGAACTGAATCCATTCACTGTGGGGCATAAATACATTTAAAATAAGTGCAACAGAGCCAATGTCCCACTATTTCAAATTAAATTGGAGTGTGTTTTCTTATTTCAGCAGTTCTGGTAAGTCAATCACTCTGAACGTACATCATTCTAAAAGAATTATGCTATGCATATTTACCCATCCAAATTCTCATGCATTATACACATCCACTCATAAAACTTGAACGTTATTCAAACAATCTTATTTTTATCTTTCAACACTTCACAGAAAACATAACATGACTTCAAGAGATAGTACTTGGCATGGTCTTTATTTTGAAAGCCTTAGCGCAGCGGTTCTCAACCTGTAGGTTGTGACTTGGTTGGGGGTCGAGCGACCCTTTCACAGGGGTCGCCTAAGACCATCGGAAAATACATATATAATTACATATTGTTTTTGTGATTAATCACTATGCTTTAATAATGTTCAATTTGTAACAATGAAATTGGGGGTCACCACAACATGAGGAACTGTATTAAAGGGGGGCATTAGGAAGGTTGAAAACCACTGCCTTAGAGTGTATCTGCTCCTTAGTTCATGTGGGATAAGTAGCTGTTTCAAGGTGCCTATGAATCATCCTTTCCTTCCCAGAGCTTAACCCAAAGTCAGGTTTAAACCCTAAGACTCTAACTTACAAATACTGCTGAGAACCTTAAACATTCCCTTAAAAATAAGCATTTACTCCCCCAAATAAACATATACTAAATTTGAGAGCTTTTAATATAGTCAAAGAATATAGAGTTTTAGGATTAAAAGAACAATTTCCAAATTATTACAATTCCTTCACTCCAAAATAAGAATTTTTAAAATTGGTAATTAATCTGAATAATATGACAATTTTATTATTACCAGTATATAGGTGGTATTAGTGTATGTTGAAAAGTATTCAGGTCTCAATATAAAATAGTGTCTCATTAAACATAAGTATATGAGAAATTATAATCTGAAGTTTTTAAAAACCATTTCTGCCTGACCTGCATGGCTCAGTGGTTGAGTGTTGACCTATGAACCAGGAGGTCACAGATTGATTCACGGTCGGCGCGTGTCTGGGTTATGGGCTTGATCCCCAGTGTGGGTTGTGCAGGAGGCAGCTGATCAATGATTCTCTCTCAACATTGATGCTTCTATCTCTCTCTCTCCCACTCCCTTCCTCTCTGAAATCAATAAAAAAATATGTATTTTAAAAAGAACCATTTCTATCCCTCCATACCAGTAATCAGTATTATGAATTAAGAATTTTTACATGTTTAGAAGTAAATATGGTTTGTGATAAGCAAATATTTACATATTAAAGTATTATATAATAATATTTGCATTTTAAAGCATTATATAAGTGGTCTCCTATCCTTCTGCACTTGCTTTCTTTGATGTTTCTATCTCTCTATCTCCCTCTCCCTTCCTCTCTGAAATCAATAAAAAAATATGTATTTCAAAAAGAACCATTTCTGTCCCTCCATACCAGTAATCAGTATTATGAATTAAGAATTTTTACATGTTTAGAATGTAAATATGGTTTGTGATAAGCAAATATTTACATATTAAAGTATTATATAATATTTACATTTTAAAGCATTATATAAGTGGTCTCCTATCCTTCTGCACTTGCTTTCTTTTCTTTTTCTTCTTGTTTTTTAAAGTAAACCATCATGAGACCTGCTTTAAGGATAACAGATTGATGTTGAATGTCTTAACATCTAGAGAAAGTTATCAATTCAAACTTTCAAACTATCCTGGATCATACACTATATCTCTCCAAACTCTTCTAAATTCCTAGGAGGCAAGTAAAAGTACTATTATAATTACATAATAAATACCAATTATTAAACTATAATAATAATTATTTTAATTAGTATATTACTTTAAAAGATATCTATCTATTCATAATACAGTAGAGTAGTACTTTTATGTTCCTTTGTGGTACTTCATAGCCTTCATATAATTATCATGTACAGAGAGTACTCAGTTGGCAAGGTTCTAATATGCATGAATTTCATTGACCATTAGTTTTAACTAATTAAAACATCGGTCCCCCCAAAACACAGTTCAAATTTCAGTAACCAATATATTAACTGTGAGCAAATGTAAAGTACAAACTCTGACACTTTACAAAATCACTACATAGTAACATCATGACCAGTAACCAATCACGTAATTGGTCATGACTTCATACAAAGTCTGTCAGTGATTGGTTACCATGTATCTGTGATTCAGTTCACTCATAGATAGCAAAGTGTGTAGCTTTGTCTTCTTGTCTCACAGTGATAAACCCACATGATGTTTTACAGAAATAGATAATCCAAAGAGGGAATTGGCAAAGGAAAGAAGAAAGGGAGGGAGGGAAGGGCAACAAAGAAACACAGACTAAAACGTTGGTGGTGGTATTTGAATCAAACATAAATGGAGTTATAGAAGAAATAGTTGAATGTGGGAATGTGGACATTGATGATGTTGAAGGACTTTAGATATGCATCAAAGCAATTTGGCAAAGGAGAATGTATCAAAAAGGAAAAATGTAGTTGTTATAAAAAGGATGAAAATTCCTAAAGGAAGTGACACCAGCACACTAAAGATACTCTCAGAGATATTTTCAGGCATTGAAAATGCAAAGGATAAAATGTTAGAAGCTGATCTAAACTCAGGTAGGATAATGACGATTTGTCAAAGCATAAGAAAGATTTTTGCTCAGTATTACAAGTTACAGTATGAGAAGAAGGCAAGTTCAAATTGCTCTTGATAAGTTTTTTTCGGGGGGGGGTTATATTTTTATTTAAAAGCCTGAATAGCTTTGATATTTTGCAAAATATAAAGTTAATTTCCCTGTGTTTTTGTGTGTGTTTTTTTAAGGGGCGGAGGGTGTTACATTTTTATTTCCGAGGTTAAGTTTTTTACAAAGAAAACTTCATTTCTAATTTTTAGATTACAGTGTACTAAGTAGTTTTACTATTTTTTTCATTTCTCTATACATGTATAACCAATGTTTTAATGTTTAACAAAAAAATTTAAAGATCACAGAACAGTTGTAATTTTCTCATTACTAAGTTTGTTTTGCATAGTTTCAGCTTGCTTAATCACATTTATGTCTCTACAATATTATGCAAAGCAAGGACTGCCTGTACAGTGTGGCCATGTATATTAGAGCTTAAAATATAGTTTTGTTACATTAAATTATTATTTAGAGGCTCCTAAGTTGTAGCTGTGATTTTAGGAACATAATCCACAAGTTATGTATCATGGCTACAGAAACCAAAATATCCCAACAAAATAGTATTATAGGTAAAAAACAAAAATAGTATTATAGGTAAAAAACAAAACTGAGGCTGCAGCATCAGAGAACTCGAGTCAAATCTTGGCACCATCGTTTACTTAGCTATGTGCCTCTGAGCAAGCTTCAGTTTAGTAATCTATAAGAGGAGGACAAACTGTCACAATAATGACATATATTTTTACTGATTTCAGAGTGGAAGGGAGAGGGAGGGAGAGAGAGAGAGAGAGAGAGAGAGAGAGAGAGAGAGAGAGAAACATCAATGATGAGAGAGAATCATGGATCAGCTGCCTCCTGCACACCCTACACTGGGGGATCAAGCCTGCAACCCAGGCATGTGTCCTGGCCAGGAAGCGAACCATGACCTCCTGGTTCATAGGCCAATGCTCAACCACTGAGCTATGCTGGCTGGGCTAGATAGCGAATTTAATGCTCAAGGTATTATGTTAGCTACTAGAGGCCCCATGCATGAAATTCGTGCAAGGGGCTCGGACCCCGCCACAGCGGCAGCTGCCTCGGGCCCCGATGCCACGGCTTTGTCCAGAGGTCGTCCAGAAGAACGTCTGGTCTAATTAGCATATTACGCTTTTATTATTATGGATTGTTAACATTTGGTAACTGTGGTCCAGTTCCCATGACCAACATGATTCCACATGGCAAACACATCCGTTTTCACAAATTTGAATCTGTGTGCAAAGCAACTCTTTCATTTCAGAGTCAGGATATATTTGAATACAAATCCTCTTAGCTGGGTTTCCTTAGATATAAAAGATTATATCTCAATAGCTAAAGATGAATTGACTTATCTGGACTATTGGGCAATAATTTTAAGTGAAAAACCCAGGTAACTTTGTAATATGGTATTAGATGAAAAAACAAATCATTTGAATTTTTTATAAAGGGGGTAGAAAAATCTCTCAATATTGTATTACTGGTATTATATACAATCTCAATGAAAATGGATTATTTCAGGAGTTTTGTTTTCTTTTTCTCTTGGAATTTGCTCTGAATTTGCTCTGAAAGTCTAAATATATTTTGATTAGTATACATGATTACAAAAGACAAAGCTACCTCCAAAAAGCCCTATAGTAGGAAAAGCCTTTAAATAAAATAGGATTAAGTAAAGTAAAATAAAAATTGGACCCAGAACAAAATGTACTGATTGTGTCTAAAGCTTGTTTTAGAGGCAAAAGTGTTATAATGAATGAGGTAATGCCTTTAGGAGAGTTTCCATCTGAATTCTGCCAATTCATATTTAACACAAACATTTCCTAAGTCTAAAAGGATAAGTCTCTCAGTTCCTTCATAATAGCACCTCCAGAAAACATCAAATAGAACATTGCTCTTGTGTGCCTACACTCCATATACAGTTCTATTTTCCACACTCAATACATTTCTGGGGAAATCACTTGAGAATGGAATGGTATCCAAATTTTACACACACACACACACACACACACACACACACACACACACACTTTCCAGATAATTAAGGTTGGTCTGACCAAAAAAATTAAAATTAAAATTAAAAAAATTACTAAGTTATGGATAATTTTCTAAAAACTCCAGCATTATATTTTCTCTTATAAATATAAGAGAATGTTATGTGGCCCCACCCCATAACAAAGAAATAGAATTTCTGGAGGATGAGGCC